TGTAAAGTAATATATTGTGAGAGGGCCGTGTATTACCGCATCCCAAACGACTCAAAATAATAAACCACAAAGTTAACAAAACGATGCACTCTTCACGTGCTATCGGAAACATCCTATTTCCCACTTATGAAGTTGTGATTACGGGCACGTTGCATTCTTTTGTTAAAAACAACAGTGAACAGTGGTTTGTGAATGTTGATGCTTAGCCTAAATAATTTTATCGGGAGCGTTCATGTGAGCACTGTCTTAGGCCCACCCCAAATGCTCTCATTTGTTCGAGACGCATGATGATGCCCATCACAAGTCAGTACTGATCAACATCCCACCACTCCTGTGACCCATGGTTTGTCACAGGCCTGCAAACATTGGAGAAAAAACTTGAAAAGTGCTCTTTCCCCATTTTTGAATGGTTACCATTGGCACATAATGCAACAAAGATTGCTAAAGTCAACAGATTTCACTAATAGTCCTACCAATCTCTGTGTAAGAGTAACATTATGATGCTGCCATCTTTCTGAAGTAATTTTTAGCCCCCTGTAAATTGGCTCTGAATCTCAGGTGAAAATTGCCATTTTGACCCCCCTCTACAAAAAAGCGGATTAATCAGTAAATATTCATCCATGACATTTAATATTTTGGCTTTCATCACTATACTATAATAAGCATTTAGGCGTATTATAGCCTATACCGCGCTCAAGCACGCATATAAAGCTTGCTGCAAAGCACCGGCAAAAGTAATGATTTGCATGCGTCGGGGGAAAAAGACGACATTTTAATTATTTATTACTAAACTAGTGCTTTCTCAGTCAGTGTTGGCTGCAAAGATGAAGTTGCCGAATGCTGAAGATGACTGGTCATCTCCACAGTTATGGACGTGCCTTTAATAGAGAAATGCACTTTTTCGGACTACATAGACTAATTAGAGAAGATTTGTTTTTTCTATTTTAATTGGTTCGTTTAATAGTAGACATTTCAAGTTTTCTATAGATTTATTTCTTATTACTGTGACCCTGTTCATTGTTGTGATCCATTCATGGAGACTGTATGAAACGGCAGATAGCACATCCAAAAATGACGGAGTATATTAAGTTCTCTCCGCAGGAAAAAATAAATAAATAGATGATTGCGCAGGCGCCTCCATACATATACACATATACACATACATATATATATATATATATATAATCAAACCATACAGTTCTCCACACACGATTTGGCACACACTAGAACCGCGGTTCAACTTAAATCTGAGAAGGCGACAAGGTGTGTGCGCTCATCCAAAGCACGCAAACCTCAGAACCTCAGAACGCGCGCAAATATTAAGCTCTCTCTGAAGTATTGTGTTTGAATGGACAAATTCACACAAAAATGATGTCAAAATGCCCATCTTGGTAAGTATCCTACAGCAGACATAGCCGGCTGAACGTTCTGTATCAGTGCACTGGATCAGTACATGCTCTTAAAGTGATAGCACTTTCTTAATATTAATCATACAGAAACAACAAGGAAAACACTCACTGCTCGATTGAATTAAAGATTAATCTTTCTTTTATACAGTAAAATATGTAATGCTATTTTACATTTGATTATTCAATTTCTGTACCTAAAAACTAATGTTAGACCTACCTTAAAAATAGGGGTGCTCTGATTGATCGGCTACCGATCACTATCAGCCGATAATCGTTTTGGGATCATTGATCGGCGGCCTCTATAAAGGCCAATCTCAAAAAACCGATCTCAAGCTGATGACGCGCCTGCCGTGAGACGTTTGGCACGACATGCAGCGGCACCTCTCAGTCTCTGTCTGGCGCGGGTAAAATAATTATTATGCTGAAGGTGAGGTGCAACTCATATTTCTTCATTAAATAACAGCGTGAGTGAATCACCGCGCGCATTTTTTCCGCGCTCATGTTAACGGATTAAAGCGTTCACACTGCACACGGTTGCGGTGCGGCAGTGCGTTCCAGGAGCAGTGCGTCTGCAGAGCAGAGATCGTTTCCGCACCGAGTCTGTTTTTGCTGCGCTGCAAGCACTGAATTAAAGAAACAGCACATTGTTTGCGGTAAATATGAAAACGAAAATGTAGTAAATACACCATAAATGCATACAATTAAAGTCTACTGTGTTTCACAGTCAACAACACATATGGCTTGTTGGCTAGTTTTAAAGGAAAAAAGCACTTTTAGATAAACAAGGCAATAATAGATGGCACTCGTGGAGGTAATAAAGATTTAAAAGCAAAAGGAAGTTTGTCAGTGGTAAGTTTTAATTTAGAATGTTTGTGATAACGTAAGAAAAGTATTTGAAATGTTTTGCCACTTGCTTGAGCAACTTTTTTTTGTGCTGTTGTGCAACAATTGCACGAGTGTAAAAACAAAAATGTACTGCATGATGGAACATTTAGGTGAGATAAATATATATTTTTGAAAAATGTCAAAAAAAAATGCTCCCCTCCACCCCTCAAAAAAAAA